TCACATGGAATTGAACTGGTATCTTGTGATCTGACCTGTGGAGCACTAACCACTGTGCTATAGACCCACAGGTCATTTTTCACTTATATATAATATAACAAAGGAGCTATAATGTAATATATGTATTCTCTAGTGAATGCTTTAGTTTTTGACTATTGATTGGCTTTAAGCAATCAAATTTAGGAGCTTTTTTAATCAAGTGAAATATAACTTTTTAAGAATCATTTTTTAATCTTCTAGTAGATATTTTGATTTCAAAATCAGTTGATTTAGACTATTAATTTTAGGAGTATAAATGTCAAAAGAGTACAACTTTTATATATATAAACTACTGGAAAAAGATTATGTCATACAAAATATTGATGTCAGTTTAATGTTCTCCTTCAAAGTTTTCTTATTTAATAGTTAACAGAAAAGAAAAATATTAAACAGGTTTGATAAGATAAAATATAATCCAATTTATATATTCAAATGAGTAGTTGTTGTGAAAATTAATAAGAATTGGTTAAGATGAAGTATAGTCCATTTTGTATAATCAAATATAAGAATTTTCAATTGTTTAACAATTATTATAATATTAACCAGATAATTGTAATACTACTATACCTTAACAAGGAGATTACAATTTTAATACCTGTTGAATCAGTATATGAAATGGCTTCTTATAAAAAACAGTATATAACTGGTTATAGTACCAGATATCATATTAATACTATTTAATTATCTTCATATGAAATTGAATTAATATCTTGTGATCTAACTTATAAAGCATTAATCATTATATTATAGATTCACAGATCAGTTTTTTAAGAATTTTATTGTAATTTAAGTAAGATTTTTTTTTATTAAACTTGTAACAATTCTTAAATAAATTAATATTTCAAAATATTTGATATTTTATAGAATTTTAAAAGACTTGAATTTGATAATTATCAAATTTGATTATATTTTGAATATTATATTTAATTCCAATATTTTTTTAATAAATTTAATTTTGTTTTTATAACAAATATATTATTATTTATTGAAATTAAATAAAAATTTTATAAACTATTTATCTTAGTTAATATTTTTAAAACAAAGATCAATACTATTTTAATTATTAAAATTTTATTATTAAAATTTTTCAAAAAAAAGTTTTTTGTTAATTTACTTTTTTTAATTACTAATTTTATTTATTTAACATAAAAATATAATTATTTTAAATATATTTGTAACCTAATATCAATATCATTCAATTTATTTTTTCTAATATTGAATAGATATTTATAATTACTTAATATTATTTAATAGAATACATTGTTTTAAAATTTCTTTTTAATATAAGTCATATGGTTATCATAAATAAGCTAATATTTAACTTATTAAATAAAATATGAAAAATATTGTTTCTTTTATAATGTATATTTTATTGTATATTAATTACTAGTAATAAAAAAAAACAAAAAACTTTTAAAAATAAAAATAAAAGTATATCTTATTATATACGGTATATACTGTATATACAGTGTATGAGATATACGTATTTTTAAAAAAATAATTTTTATTTTAAACAATTGTTTGATAATACTGTAAATACGTGCTATGAATATATGGTATTTCTCAAGTTTTATAAAAATTCATTATAAGTCATAATTGGGTATTATTCTAAAGTTTAAATAAATAAGTAAATACACAGGTTATCTAAAGTTTGAATTCAATGTACGCTATTTTTGTTATTTTTACTGTGCATAATTAAATTAAATCTTTACAACACTTTAAATCAAAATTACTTTCTTTTTATATAATAAATAATAAATACAGAAAATAATAAGTGAACTTTATTTTCTTTTTATGATAAACGAAAAGAAACTTTAAAATGATAAATAATTCTTTTGGGTAATCATTAATAAATTCGAGATTTCTCTCATTCGCCAAACTATATTATCAACATCACAAAAATTATTTGATGACCCGTTACACGAATGCTTACTGCTCTCCGTATCAAATATGTTTTAGCGAATCATGTAGTTCGGGTTCGCGTAATTTCTAATAGAAATCTTGAGTCGGGCAAAAAAAAAAAAAAAGAGACTTGAAAGACATTTGAAACGAGTCAACTCTGAAGATTTATTAATTTTGTTTAACGATATCTTTATTTTTAAAAAATTTGAGTAACAATGGATTACAAGAAAATCTTAGTGTTTTGGTTTGCCTTAATTATGTTTGTGAAAAAAAAAAATTGAGAATTAAATGTACATAAGATGCAATTGGGTGAGATTAAAGAAAAAATTTACAAAGAAGATTATTTAGGAATGGGAAAACAATTGAAACATGTGTATAAGAGGCGTGGATGGTATTTTGTGTGTAACATTATTTCATGATCAATGGTGATGGAAGGACCTTACATTATTTGTGATGTGTTTTATTTTACTTTTGTGAGAGTGTGTGTTCACGCGTGGATAATTGACGGGTGTCGAGAATCCATGCGTTAAAGCACTAAGGGGGATGGATGTGAGACTGGTGAAAAGAAAGCAGAAAAACCAATATACTGATATATTGATAAAACTGAAGAAATCTAAACATATGTATAATTCTTCTTGTTATTCGTGGTGCATTGTTCTATTATTTGTACAGATTACACAATTTTTCAAATTTTATTAAAGAAAGAACAATAGAAATAACCGTCCGTCCTTCCTTCATTCGCATCCTTCACTCTCACTCTCATCCTCATCCTCGTCCTCATCCCCCTCAACCTCGTGTTGATAGAATGCCAAACAGACTGCCTGTGCTGCAGGCCCCAATCCGAGGTATTCGATGTTCTTCCACACATCGTGATAATTCTCCACGGTTAACGTGTCGTACCACTTGTCCGCATCGCCTGAATATAAAAATTCTAGCAACGGCTCGAAGGTCTCTGGTGAAGGCAACTTTATGGTGATAACGTCACCGCTCGAAACATTCTCAAACACTTCACGAAAGAAGAGGGATTGGAGGACCAAGTATTCCTCGTGCACCCAAAATGGTTTATTGATTCCCTCGACGTGCAATTCAGCGAATGCGGTGGATTTGTCGCCAAAATAACGAGTGCCAAGTTGATGTAATTTCTCCAAGATGTAGGTGACCGGAATGCCGTCGATTTGAGCCATTTGGTGATTATTTAGGGAAGCGTATTTGCTCTGTTTTACGGGTGTAGCGGGTTGTTGTTGGATGGTGGGAGTCGGGATATGGTTGCGAGGTTGAGACTGCCGGAGAACGCGTTGCTTGATTGGAGAGGCTGAGAGCATGATGAGAGAATTTTTGGACGGAATTTTGAAAAGTGGTAAGGGGTGAAGTTTGGGAAAAGTGATTTGTTGATTTGTTGGTAAGAAAGAAATATAAGTCTTATGGTAATGAAAGATGATTGGTTTGGATGCTGATGAATGTTTTTGTTGATTTATGTTCTATGCTCCTTGTTGTTAGTTGAAGTTGATGCGAACAGAGATATTTTTTCGATAGTGTAACAAAATTGATGTTGTTGTTGTCACCTGGTTCAGATTATATTATATGATGTTTCTTGTTTGTATGTTTTCAAATTTTGAGTTGTTGGAAAAGAGGTAAGGAAGAGTCCTTTTATGTGAAAAATTTCCCGCCAAATTTTTCCTTTCGCAACAATTGTATATTGTAGATGTCATTATATTGTAATTGTAATTCAATTTTTT